ATATGTGGATAAAATTCAGACCTAATTAATATATACACCTAAACATTAAGAAAGGGAAAAGGCTTGATATTTAGAAACTGGCATAATTATTAGCTCATTTTTTTATACTTAAATCAATTTGACAATAAAAACTCAAGATTATTGGAAAATAAGCTTCCAAAAGGTAAAGGAGAGGGTTATATAAAGGCAATAAATGATCAATAATAAAAATCTTATTTAAAAGTTTATTTATTTATCAAGCTTGTATGCCACCCAACTCACTGAAGGCAACTCTAGTTTGCAAACTAGTACTTCTAAAAACCTTGTTACAGAATTTCTGGTGCTGTGAACTTAGACTCATTTTTACAATTAGAAGTTACAGTTTTTTAAAAAAACATTGAAAGTAGAAAATTCCCAGGTTCTAACAGATGAGTTCTATAAGGCATTTAAAAATATTAAATGAGAATTTTTGTCATTAAGGTAATTTTCTTCTCTCATCCTAGTGCAATTCTAAAATATCTTTAATTCCTAAATCACACAACGATTCATTAGAATTATCTTCTTACAGACTTATCTTTCTCCATATTTATCATAAATAATATACTAAACTACTAGCCAAACTTCTCAATTTAATTATGGGAGAAATTATGCAGCCTAACCAATCAGACTTCATTCCAAAAAGAAATATATCTAGCCCCACCAGAAAACTGTTATTATTAACTCTTAATATTAAAATTAATGTTTCTCTATCAGTATGCTCATTAAAGATATTTAAAGCAACTGACTGTACAGAAAGCACTATTTTTAAAACAAACTTTAAGTCTGCCAATTACTTTTTCCACACAATAGATCAGATTTATAATATAATCAATGCCCAATAAAGAATTAAGAAGTATGAATCAGAAAATAATTTCAAGAACTACCAAGCATGGCTATCAATTATCCTAGCAATCATTAATTCTTGTTATAGAAATACAGTAATAGTTTTTATAGCAATAAAGAAATTACAGATATAAATTTGATTTTTAGTAATGCAAATAAATATATTAGTATAGAATTTGAAAATTAGGGATGGTAGCAAAATTTCAAAATCACAACTGAGTTATTAAAGAAAATTCTTCCAAAATTTTCCTAAAGTACGAAGATAGCTAATAATTTAAATATAGTAGTGGGTTTAGATTTAGGAATTAATATAACTATAATATTATAATATCTATTATTTATATATTATAATTATATTATAATTAATATAATCAAAAACATTAAGAAACTGTTTAATAATAATTTCATCTCAATGTATCAGAAGATAAAACAAAAAATGAAAATCAGGAATAAGAAAGATTTAAATATTTTGATTGAACTGAGGCAGTTAAAATGATAAAACTTTACTTTTTCAAAAATGTCAAACTGCCTCAATAGGTACTTGATAAAATGTTAACACTTTGGGAAAGAAAAATTAAGCTTCTTTGTTTAATACTAGAAAAATTAAGAATAGAAATGTCACATAAGGACTCAGACACAAGGAGACTGAAGAATTCCGTTTTAATTTTTTTTAAAATAAGGCAGCATATTTCAGTTATATTGTTCCCTTCACAATGGAAAACTCAACAAGACATAGGTGCTGCTAGAAAACATTAAAGAGATTAATAAATGTTTTTCTTCCAGAAGACTTTATAATAGGTAATATAAGTAATGTATTTACATATTACGAGAGCCAGTTTGGTGTTAGTTAAGGCACCAGAATAGAAGCTGGGAAATTATTGAGTTCTTAGGCATAAAGCCAGCTGGCCACCTTAGGCCAGTCACTCTTTCTCAGCCCTAGGAAGGAGGCAATGGCAAACCATTTCCAAAAATCTTGAGAAAACTGCAGGGACTAGTCCAGGTAGTCACCAGGAGCCAAGTTCACTTGAAGTTACACACATGTACTCAAGTTCACAAAGCTACACTTCAATTTTGGGAGGAAATATGCAACTTTGATAGAGGCATCTTTACTGGGACATCTAATATTCTTTAATCAGGACATGTCAACCTAAAAGAAGCCTTGAAAAAAGCTCAAATTGCAATAGGGTATGAGACTTCAACAGTAATAAGACACAAAGTAGATGTGTTTGAGTTACACTTAAGTCCCCATCTATCCTGGCCAACAGAGCCCCAACTTATTTTTTTAATAAGAAGGCTATAAAGGACTCAGCATCTCACTGTTTAATTATGAAAAATTAGCAATTAATTGCTCATTCCAAACCAAAAGAAAAATGTAAATAATTTATGGAATGTTAGAACTGAAGGCGGGTGAGATCCTGTAGGTTTAAAAAGACGCAATGTCACTAACTCACACGTTTTGTTACTTACAAGCCTAAGTGCACCAACATAAGCTATTTAAACTCTGTGCAGTGAATGCATCAATATGAAACCCATAAAATGGTACTATAAATCTGGTTTCCTGCAGTGGCACAAAAGAGTAACTCACCTCTTCATTGGGAGAATCCAAATTTTTATTCTGAGCAATAATAGTTTTCACCTTGAAGGTTTTTTATTGAATATTCTAATACAGAATATACAGGTAGTCCTCAACCTACAATTGAGCCCAAAATTTCTGTTACTAAATGAGACAGTTGAGTTTTGCCCCATTTTATGAACTTTCTTGTCACAGTTGCTAAGTGAATCACTGCAGTTGTTAAATTAGTAACAAAGCAGTTAAGTGAATCTGGCTTCCCCATTGACTTTATTCCTCAGGTGGTCTCGAAAGGTGATCACATGACCCCAGGACACTGCAACTGTCATAAATTTGAGTCAGTTGCTAAGCGCCTGAATTTTGATTACCTGAACAAGGAAATGTTGCAATGATTGTGTGAAAAATGGTCACAGGTCACTTTTTTCAGCACTGTTGTAACTTAAAACTGTCACTAAACAAATTGTTGAAAGTCGATGATTACTTGTACGGCCAATACTCTATGTGATGCCAAATTTTATTAAATTTCAGAATCAACTCAATAATTTGCTATTGTATAACTGCCTATGTGGGATGATCTTCAAGTGATTTGAACTATGGTTTATTTAGCCTAGGAAGCCTAATCTAGCCTAGGATGAAATTATGTTTCTATATATGCTATCCTAGTACTTCTTCGTTTGGTAAAGGGCAATGGCATACCAGAACTAAAAAGTCCCACTAACAGCTTCATGGAGGAAGGATTGAACAATTTCCACAATTTCTAACTAACAACCAGTAACAATAGCTTCCAACTTCTTGCTATGCTCCCAACTTTATATTCTGACGAATTCTTTAAAATCAGCATTTGCTGATTCAGATGTAACAGAAAACTGATTTCAGAAATTGATAGCTTTGTATAGAGTGCACGAAGTACATGAAGCTGGAAAGATAAGATAGTTCAGATACAACTTGTTCCTAGGATGGTATTGCATAGACTAAAAATATAACTGAGGCAAGCCTTTACGGTTCAACTTCTTGATTATCTACAATAGGGAACAGTACACACTGATATGTAGCAGAAAAAAAGGCAAATACCACTATTTGTTCTCTGAAGGAAAGTCATTTCTGTCAGGAAATGCAAATTTTGGATGCAAATTTCTTGCTTTCTTTATATTTCTGTGACTCCTGTATTTGTGTGAAGTTGACAAGAATCACAAACGTACTTTTCAGCTTGCAAAACTCCTTCCCTGGATAAAATGTTTTCTTAACACACTGAATCATTTTCATTTCTAAAATATGAGATCTGATTAAGCTAGTGCAGTGTTTCTTAACCTTGGCCGCTTTAAGAGGGATGGACTTCAACTCGTAGAATTCTCCAGCCAGAGAAACACTGAGGTACTAAATATGATCTTTAAATATATTAAGTCAAATCATGATGTTTAAAATGAAGGTACAAATTCAATCAGGCATGACCATTAGGAATATCTTACAAAATACCAGTTATAATCTAATAAGACAGTCTGGTCTCTTTAAATTAAAAATTCTTGACTTTAAAAGCAAAGGAGAAAGAATTGTCAGGGAGGGTGGCATAACATTTATTTGAGAAAGTAAAAATGAGACATGACATAAAAATATAAATAATGGTGTTAAGGTAAGGACATCAAATGCTCCATGGGGAGTACACAGCCTCAAGAATTTTTTTGGAAATGTTATCACAGAAATTGATATACATAAAACAGAAAAAAAAGAGAGAGAATTCACAAAAGGTTGTCATCAAGTTTTCTGTTTTATTTAAGATTTTAGTTTTAATTCTGAAGAAAGAGGTACATTTCCTTGTTTTTAGTTTTAGCGTCAGGTTATAACCATGTTTAATTTTATGTTTCTTTTTTTCCCCCGTCTTTCAATACTGCACAAACGTCCAGAAACTACAAGGTTAAGTAAAAGCTGCAGGCAGAGGTCGTCAAAGGTTGCGCTCCCGATGATGGTCTTGTGGCCCCAATGCAGTGCTATCTCAGAGTGTCTTAATCAGGTGATTTTAAAAAAAAGAGACTGACAAGAAGACAGAAAGATTGAAGTGAATATCACTCGTGTTTCAGCTGCTTATAATTATATTATGTATATGCTAGGTATTAAATCTGTGATATTTTTAAAACATTATATTTATTTGAAATCTAAAGCCAAAACTTTTAAAAATTCCCTCTGTTAAATCATTTCTTACCAACATGTCAGTTATTTCTACAGGCAAATTGTCTTTCACCTACTTTATGCCAAAACGTTACTGACAAAACTGTCCCACCCTTCAAGAGAAAAAAGAAAAAAAAAAAGTATTTCCCTGTATAATCAACTCACAGAATGCAACACGAATGTTAGGCCACTGCTTTTCCTCAATATATTTCTACACTGGATTCTGAATTTTGTATTATTGTCTTCTATTGTCAACATGACATTTTCCTGCTACGCTAAAATAATTATGTGCAAAAGATTTATGAAAATATTATGCACTTTGATTTCTCTCGCTTAGTGTGTTTAAAGAAATAGTTTTTAAACAGTGTATTTCAAACACTGACTCAGCAAAACTTAAGAAAAAAAGATAATAGTTATGACCCTGTGATTGCATTGCATTTGGAAGCTGGTTGGGAAAGATTTTTGACCAGGAACCAGATTCTTCAGAAAGAAAAATATGAAAGAGGGGCCATAGGTGGGTACAGGAAGTTTGGGAGGAGCAATTCCTGCATTTCTAATGTTTTTGTACTTTTCCTAATGACGATCCAACGCTGAGCTCTGTAGTAAATCTGTGGGGGGTTTACTGGGGGGTCTGAAAGCTGTCTGAAAGCCTGGGGGAGGAGAGTGGAAACTGGCAGGGTTTGAAGGAGGGGAATAGGGGTTCCAACTGGCTCTGTGCAATGGAATTTGTGTACTGAAGGGGTTACTGTGGGGGGTCTGTGTTGGGGCAGCACTGGGGCCATCCATCTCTGTGAGAGCCTGAAGAGACTTTAGCCAATGCGGTGGATTGTCGTCTTGAAGAGAGTCTAAACTGTTTCCAGTGGAGGCTGGGATACCTAGGAAGAAGAGAAACACAGGAGGAGACATAGGTTACACAAAGCAAGCAAGAACTACATATATGAAGTAGGACAGTGCAATTTAACCAATAGCAAGATCAGAAAAATAATTGTTGGCTTGCAGAAATGAAATGACTATGAATACAGTTTTTCAAACACAATTGAAGCTGAGTTTTCCTGGGGAGCTTTTGTCCCTTAAGATGATTTTTCACACTGCCCAAACATTTTTCCGTAATAACATACAATTATTTCCTTTTCTACCTTTCCAAATCGTAATTAACCATTACAAGGAAAACAGCCTTATAAAGAGAGCTTTATAAATAGTGGAGTATGTCCCTTTTTAATGAAAAAAATAATCCAGTTAAAATCCAGTAGCATAGGAACTATATTGCACAGAAAAGCATGCCATCATGTTGATGTGGAAACCGACAGAAACCTCAGATATGCTAAGAAAGACGCCAGGCATGCAAAAGAAAATACTGTGGGGTATTAATGTTCATTTGTTCTAAGATTTCTGGGCCTCTTGAAAGTTGGTAGATGGAAGCTGGAAGAGACCACCGCATTTTTTTCCAAAAAAGGTATATTGATTAATTTGTGCCAAATATGCACTTGATCATTGTCAATGGAGCTGAATGAGCGAGAAATCGTTACCTGTGATGATTGCGGGGTCCATCCAGCTCCCAGGGCTGTCCCAATTCAGGCTGTCGGTTGTGGCAGTGTTGGACGTTGGTACACTGTGGTTGGCGTTGGAGGGGGAAGTAGCATTGGGCAGTCCACCAAAGTTGATGTTAATGTTCGGTAGAAGTGCCCTTAGCCCGTCCTGCCATTCCTTCATATTTAAACTCTCTACAGAACTGTTGTTGTCTGGGAGATTTATCAACAAAAAAAGAAAAAAGAAAATGAAAGATAGAAAATAAAAAGCTGAAGTTAGAAACAGATGCTGTTTTTAGTGAAAGATGGTGGCTCTCTAAGCATTTACAACTGTTTTTCTATCAAAAGAATGGGACGATGATAAAGATGAAGCTTCAGTGTTGAGCTGCTGTAGAATATAGAATTATTTAAACATCTAATGGCGAAAAAACTAAATGTTTCCCTACTAAATCTGGGCAGAAAGTCAACGGTTAAACAAAAGAATGAATCTTCCATTACTAGCAAGGAAAAAAATCACATCTTTTATATGAAAGCAGTCTTACTTATTGATAAATTTGTCTGCTTTGCTGAATGGTAGGGATATTTAACAGTTTCCTACACAAAGATGATACAAGCAAGATTATAGAATCCTCACCAGAATTACAGCTATAAAACCTTTCCAAATCTACCTTTTTTTTAAAAAAAGAAAAGGTACTAAATACTGAAAGTGAGAACAGCCTGCTTTGTCTAAAAGAATGAAGAGAGAAGGACATTCTAACATTTTAAAGAAAGAATTAACAATCTCTAAAGTGGAAGACCAAATGCATTATCATACTAATCTGCAAAGCTGCACTAAGTCTATTTTTTAAGGAAGACAAATTTAGTGGCTATTTTAACAATAACAGGAAACTTCCAACAATTTGATTTTTAATCTCTGAACTTCTCTCAAATATACAATTTAGAAAATACCCCATCAGACGTGGCAACAATCACTTGATTAGGTAGTATTGTATTTAAAATGGATTTGCCATAGTTATAGGAAAAATAGTTTTCAACAGTAATCAAACTAATGGAATATCTACATTTTAAGGAAGTATGCCCTCTTTCGGGGAAATCCCATAGGTATTCTTAGGGGACAAACCTCAAATGGTTTTTAATTGGGATTTTAAATTTTATGGATTTGGGGTTTTAAATTGGGTAGCCAGTGATTTAATTCTTTTAATTATCTTAACTTTTGCATTTGTATGTTTTTTAATTTTGGCTGTTCACCGCCCTGAGTCCCTTCTGGGAGAAGGGCGGTATACAAATTAAATTAATAACAATAATAATAATAAAAATATTCAAGAGTCATGTAGCTAGCCAGTGACTACCAAAATGTTTCATATATAGAACCTAAACAATGTGCTTTATTGTGTCCTTCACAAAACAAAATATCATCCTTCTATTTTGACTACAGATTCAGGGACTAATTCAGTAAGTTTGTGTTCAACATATTCAATATAAACCTGAGTTATGTAATTCCACTCATTGCATTTCAAAAGTACAGACCAAAAGGACTAGAAAAGAAGGAGATCAGATTAGCGCTGCAGAATGATTTCTGATTCAGTTTACATATCCATGTATAAATTGTCCTTAACATTTCTTCTTTGACAGGAGGAAACTGAATTACTTAAGATGTCTTCAATTAAGATTTGTACCAATAGCCAGCTCAAAATACTTCTGAATCTTTATCACAAAACCATACAGTTATACTACATCTAGTATTTTGCAGTAAGTCATTGCTATTAAACATCTGAATACAAAAAATATTGCTGTTACCAATACATACATGATTAGTTTGATAGCTGAAGCTTTTTCAAGCTGACTAAACCTTCTCAAGAATTATTGAAAAAATTCAAGATACGTTGGTAAGAAGATCCTATAATGCAGATGTCTACTCTTCAATACTAGCTAGATACATCTGCAACTCTTTCCTGTACTCTTCTTCTTTTTTTTGTCTTATTATAAATTGAGAGGTGGGGAAAAGAATTGGAAATTTCACTTAAATCCAGAAATTATAACCGATATTTTAAATTATAATTTGTTCAGTTTAATTCTAAATAATTATGACTTATATTACCTGGAATATTTTATTTACTGACATACACAATGTTTAATATGCTTTTGTTTACAAATATTTTGTATTAATATTATTAATATTCCTTTTAATTTTCAGTCATAAAAAAGGTACTTATGAAACCCAATTAATTTGAAGTCAATATTGTTCTTAAAAATTAGTTCTTTCAAGTGTTGTTCATTTCTCCTTAGTACTTCGAAAATTAGAAAGACCTCCCTTTAATGCTGTGCTTCAACAGCATTAAAAAAGGAGAATTTTTAAAAAAATCATCGTCATTATTTGTAGCCTATGACCAAACTTCCCTCATCTAGTAGATAAAAAACTGTAATGTTAGGAAGGAGATCTGTATTAAAAACATTTTATAATTATTACTGAGCATATACAATATTCAAAGGTTTTTGAGAAAAAAATGTCAGTGGGTCAGAAGTCAGTATGTTTGGATTCTTTGGTACTTCATATATATTTATTAGGATTGTAATTATTTCTGGAAACTCTAAAGATCTCTTGATAAAAGTATACTCTCATCCACAGCTAATAATACAATTGTGTAATAGTTATTTGCTGTATTCACTAATTAAAAAGCTGTTCTTGACTTATAGTAGTATGTTTAGCGTATCCAAAAATAGTAGAAATAATATATGTCTAGTCTTAAATCTTTTTAAAGAAACTGTTAATTGTTAAGACACACTTGAAACAAATAAACAGTGAATCTACTGACAATAATTGGGCTATTATTACCATACTGGAAATTGAAGGTGTTATATCTACAGTTAAGTAGCAATATAACATTTTCTTTGTAAATAGAAAAGTGGAGACAAGAAAAGCACTTCAATGGAAAAACTGTTTGTCAACTCGCAAAGCATCTCTGGCCTGCTCTCGAGTTGCCATAGGCAGGAACTTTGCAACCGCAGCGAGGTAGCATGTCAGTCAAAACAAAAGCACATTCCATCCATATCTCTGTCAAGGCTGTCTCCACGGTTATCCACAGTGGCTGGAGGGGAGTGATCTCATTGGAGAATGTGACTGATGACACACCTTTGGGGAGGGGGGGAAACAGGGTCAGAGCCAGAACGAAAATTAAGTGGGGTCAGAGTTGGCTTCACTTGGAACATGCAGACATGAAGCTCCTAATAAATACCTAGATTTCTTTTGAAGCTTGGCTCGAGGATCATGATTTAATTAGGGCATCAGTCGGAACCCTGACAGCAAGCCAACTCTCTCAAAACTAATAAAAATAACCGGGACTCCTGAGTCCCGGGCTCTCCAGTCACTTTCCGACCTCTGGGCTGCATGGAGAGAAATTCAGGCTACCATGGCAGAAGGCAGACTATCCGAAGAGAGCCTGCTCTAGGCGACCCAGACAGAGGCAGAACTTGCCTCCACCCAGGGACTTCTAGGACTCAGCAGCCCAATCGGAACCGGAGTGCAGCCCTCCCTGACCATCAAAGCTGAGACGCTCACCCCAGCGACCAGAACAAAAAGGGATGAGTATTGGTGGAAAAAAATCCCTAAAGCAGCTGAGATTGAGTTCCCCTATCTTAGTGCCCAAGGCTGGGGAAAGTCCCTGAGCGAGCTAGAAAGAGTGGAATGGATGTAGCACTGGGCACAGGCCAGGCTCCCAAAGCCCCTGATGGAACCCTTGGGGAGATCCATAGAGCAGCTGAGGGAGGAATTTGACTGAGCCACCCTTTGTGATGAGGGGCCATTGTGCCGCCCAAAAGAGGGGAATTGCAGCTGAGTCCTTTGAAGTGAGGAGACACAGATGGGAACACAGCCCCCCTTCTCCACCCACCAGAAGGAGAATGAGCCCGAGGCTGGAGCCAGTGCCTTCCCCACACAACAGGCAAGCTGCCCAGGGCAGGGGGACCCTTCCCTCTCTATAAACTAGAGCCGAGGAACACTGCCAGCCACACCAAGTGCAGGCATACAGAGGCCAACATGAGGAGGAAGGAGCAGTGCTGAATGAGCTGCCCCGATTCAAAGGGAAATTTGATGGGGACTCAGATCAGCTGGCTCTATTCCTTGGCTGAGGTCCACCTAGAGAGCTATTTACACCTCTACTCATCCCACAGAGCCATGGTGAATACTATTGCCGAGGGGCTAGAGGGAGAAGCAATGGAATAGCTAGCAGCCCTCCACAAGAGGAGAGCCCCCCCAACTGCAAGATGTTGACAACTTCCTATGACAACTAGAAGCAAGATTGGAGGAGGCAGAGGAGGATCTGTACGCAGAAGATGAGCTCCGAAACCTAAAGCAGAGAGGGCAACCCATTAAGGAACACATCTGTAAGTTCAGGAGAGTCGGGGGGGGGCTTCCCCCTTTGCCAGAGCGGCTGTTAGTTCATTTTTTCAGAACAAGCCTGTATAAGCAAATTGCCCAAGTAACCGCTTATCAGGACATCCCGAACCGACTCTCTGAGCGGTTCCAAGTAGCCATAAAAGTCGATGGCAGATTGCACACCAATAACATGAAAAAGCAACCGGACACCAAGGAGAGAGGACAACCAGACTAGAGACCATCTGGCCGATGTGAGGCAACAGCACCACAGCCGGCCCCAAAACCAACTCTCCCACGAAGCCAGCTGAAAAGTTACAGATGCGGAGGGATAGGCCACATTGCATCAGCATGCACGACCCCAGCCCCGAAACCAAAGCCAGAGCCACCACCCAGGGTACAACCAGAACGAGGCCCCAGGCGTGCCACCGACATGTCCTAAAAAGCCCTCCAGGCCATAGAGGTCCCTCCCCACCCAGCTGAAGGGGGGGAAACTCCAGCCAACAACAACCAGTCACCGGATTCCTATGGCAGCAAGGATGAAGGTGAAAATGACCAATGGTGAGTGAACCGATCTACCCTTTGGCCTCCCAATACGCCTCACAGCCCCCAAAATAGGAACCCAGGGGACTTTTCAAGCCCTAATAGACTCAGGCTGCACTAGATGCTTGATCAACCTAACCACGGTCCTGAAACTGGGGATTAGAGCGAAAAGACTGGCCACTCGATCAGGTTTGAACAGATCAATGGGTCCCTATTGGGGGGAGCCTATGCCACCCACCTGACCGAACCAGTGAAGCTAGAGCTAGCGAATCACTGGGAAGCAATTCGATTCATAATAGCC